GTCCCAAATCGGGGTCATGAGAAAAAACAGCAATAACAAACCTTAAACCTTGAGAAAATCACCAGCCAATCAATCACAGAGGAGTTAAAGAATGTGGAAATATGATTCACAGATATATATATATGTATGATTTTCATCATGAGCTGACATTAGTTAGAGAACCATTGGAAAGCCTGCAGGGAGTACTGGACAGCTGTTTAATCCTAGTTTGGGACTCTTCATCAGTACGCACCCACCGGGATTCATGGGCCATTGGATCGGGTCCCAGTGGCTTATTGGTATACGAGCTCACCCTGTAACCAGAGGGTCCTGGGTTCGAATCCCGGTGGGTGCGTACTGTGAAGAGTCCCAAACTAGGACGAAACAGCTGTCCAATACTCCCAGGTTTTCCAATGGTTCTCTAACTAATGTCAGCTCATGATGAAAATCCTGTAACCAATCAAATCCCTACAAACCAACACTTGAATATATATATGACTTAATTTTCTGAGAAACTGCCACAAAACAATAACAGAATAACCTTCAGCAAGAAAACAATCAATCAGAAGAAGTTGCTTCTCCGCTAACAATAACGCTAATAATAATAATAATAATAATATCTGTTGATTTTCTCAATAAACGATCTGTTGCCTGTCCCTTGTCTTCTGTCATTACAGTACTAACTAAGCCGACAATTCTAAATATTGACTGAATTTCAACATAGAAATTTGTGAAAAATGTGCACCAGTTTCAATTACTCTAGTTCATATATACCACCCGAATGTATGGAGAAAACTCTAATGAACAGGAAAGAAAACACATGAAGATTTAATGGATGGACCTAGGAGTTGATAAGAAGTGTATGTATGTACATACACCACTGCCTTTGAGAACGATTTTAAACCACACACACACACACACTATCAACAAACTCAAGTTATTTGGCTTTTAACGTCTTCAGGACTCCAACCAGCGTCTGTTTATACCACTCTCTACATGGCTAGCTAGAAAAACCAACTGTCAAAGACTTCACATGGAATGATACCAGATTTCGATTTAAACATCCCTAACTCTTTTCCAGCCTGACCTAATATGTCACATGGCGTTACTCAACATGCAAGCCATGCCTAGGTATGCGTAACACATGCTTTAACCATCTCAAACAATGCAGCCTCACAAGCTCATGGGGTCACCACTAGGACCCATTATAGCCGACATTTTCCTGGCGAAACTAGAAAATGGGCCTTTGAAGGCTGTTATCAATGAACTCGAATTTTATTGTCGGTACATGGATGATACTTTTTCGATTATGAAGAACGAAAAGGAAGCAAAGAACATCCTGGATAAATTTAATGAGGTACATCCTGCAATAAATTTTACTATTGAGAAATAAAAAGACTCTAGTATTTCATTTCTAGACGTCCTCATGACCAGAAAAGAGGATGGCACAATAAGAAGAAGTGTTTATAGAAAACCTACATGGACGGGCCAGGACACACATTTTCTCAGCTTTGTGCCCTTGAAATACAAACGCAATCTAATAAAGTGCTTGGTCCACATAGCAAGAGAGATTTGCCCGGACGAATGTCTTGACGAGGAACTTAACATTATTAAACGGTTGCTAAGTGAGAATGGTTATCCTGAAAAGTTTATTGATAAGAATATGAATCTGAAACCAAAGCAGCTTAAGTTACCAACAGTTCCAAAAAAGGCCTTGTTCTTACAGATGCAGTTTCTAGGAGACAACACCGGTGAGATACTAACACAGCGCCTTAGAAATGCGGTAAAAAGAGCATCCCCTGCTGTCGTATCTTTAAAACCACTCTTCTTCTGCGTTCGGGAATAAAAGACAAACTACCTAATTTCGCCTCTTCCATGTGCATATACCAACTTTACATGCTCCTGCGGAGCCAGTTACATAGGCCGTACAATCAGGCGTGTTTCGCGAATAATTTCCGAACATCCCTGACTGAGTGAGTTGAACTCACTACTAAGTTTCCAAATCTACTAAAATTCTTTGGTCTATCTTATAATTTCAATTTACTATTCACCCACCCCCCAACCACCCACTTGGACTCTCCATCATCATATACCTAAATTCATTGTCTTTCCATTTTGTATTTTGTCTCTAGCCGATTCTTGTTTCTAAGCGAAATCTGAACTCTACACGCCAACCCCCGTTGTCTAATTATTCTATAAACAGTTACTCTTTCAACACTGAGTAATTCTCGTCTACCTACATCATTTTCAGGATTCTGTCGCCTATACACTTCCTATCTATCTATAATTCGACGTCACTGTGACAAAATAGATATTCAGAAACTTTGAAACTCATAATTTCATTTTGTTTAGGATGTACAGAGAGCAGTTGAAGAGAGACAGCCCACCAATTAAAATAGATCGTATTGTCCTGTCTGAAAATACGTGTTCATTCCTCCTTTATTGAAAGATTTACTAGAAAGTCAATGTCAAGATAACAAACTGCCACCTAGACAGATTACCCTGCCAACGCATCAATCAGTACTCACACTGATACCTAATCAATCAATCCTACGCTGATTCACATTATTTTACAACGAGAAAAACCGCCAGCAGACACACCCAACGGAGCTTGAGTCCAGGCCCTCCCGGTGACAAGGCCAGCTCATAGACCATTAGGCGTCTGGAACCCGATCTACAGCGTCGCTGGCACAGACGTAGAATGCTCGCCAACCATGCATTTGGTCGTCAGGCGTTCGATTCCCGACTGACACACTCCTTTTTGCCTCGCCAAGGCCAGTAGCAAGACTGGTAAAGAAGGAAGCTTGGGCATGAGACTGATTAGCAACCCCATCCCGTAAAAATAAGTAATCACTACTGCTACCGAAACTTCAAGCCTCTAGCTTGAAGTCCTCCCTCCCTATGTTCCACTGGGAACGTGAAAGAATCTAAAAAAACCCGATCCAATGGATAGCCCACGAATTCCAACTTCTACCAGAGAGAAATAGTGACCAGTGGAGTACAGCAGGTCAGGTGTGAGGACAGATACTCGCCAACCATGTCATTGGCTAGTGCCAGTCATGCTGTATCGTGAAGTGGCAGAATTTAGAATTCATGGGTTGACTATTGATTGGATCGGGTCCCAGTGGCTGAATGGTCTACAACCTCGCCTCGGTGATGGGTGTGTCCTGGCAAAAGAGTCCTAAACTAGGATGAAACAGCTACCCAGTACTCCATTACTGGTTATCCAATGGTGCTCTAGCTTCTCATGAAGTCCTGTAACCAATCAGATCAAATCCCTGCGAAGCAACGCTTGAATTACAAAACAAACAAAAAACAAACAACTTGATCAACAATTTCCACACACAAACACAACACATCATTGAGGTGAGTATTTATTTTCTGGACAACAAATCAATAATAATAATGGAAACATACTTTCTCGTTGACATCATATAAATTCACTTGTGAGCGATAAAAAGAAAACAAGAAAGGGAGAAAGATATACAACGATTATCGTCAGAATAATACTAATAAACATCACAGAGGATAGTTTATAAACAAAATAAGCGCCAAGAATGGAAGAGAGACGACTCAATTACACCACTCTCTCTCTTTTTCTAGTAAACACACATCCACACACGCAAACACCAGAGAGAAGGAGAATGAGACAGTGAGAGAGACAACAAGAGAAACAGGCAAACAAATAAAGCGTTACATGATGAAGTAAGAGCTTTCTCGCCTGTCTGCCTGACTCTGGTTTACTTTCATTTTCAACAGGCATTGACGTTACTTTCGATCCCACACCTCTGATTGACAGGCATTGGATGGATGGATTGCTGCTCGTAACCTTCTTTTCAAGATCTCTATCAAATTGAGTTAAACCACACACCATGCAAGTCCATCCACCGAACATGGAAGGTGGTAGGGCGCGACGTGGGCGAGTCGCTTGGTTTGAGGTAGGTGATGAATAGATCGCATCTCTGAAGTACTTTCAAGTTCCACCGACTCCTCGCTTGGTTTCTTTTCCTTGTCACAATATTCTTGATTGTTACTGTCACCATTCTGAGAATCCATTTGCATGCAAATCTCAGTAGTTGTAACACGAGGTTACTTGTTTTGTTTGAATATTCTTTGAGTACTCAAACAATACAAGTAACCTCGTGTTACAACTACTGAGATTTGCATGCAAATGGATTCTCAGAATGGTGACAGTAACAATCAAGAATGTTGTGATAAGGAAAAAAAACCAAGCGAGGAGTCGGTGGAACTTGAAAGTACTTCAGAGATGCGATCTATTCATCACCTACCTCAAACCAAGAGGCTCGCCCACGTCACGCCCTACCACCTTCTTCCATGTTCGGTGGATGGACTTGCATGGTGTGTGGTTTAACTCAATTTGATAGAGATCTTGAAAAGAAGGTTACGAGCAGCAATCCATCCATCCAATGCCTGTCAATCAGAGGTGTGGGATCGAAAGCAACGTCAATGCCTGTTGAAAATGAAAGTAAACCAGAGTCAGGCAGACAGGCGAGAAAGCTCTTACTTCATCATGTAACGCTTTATTTGTTTGCCTGTTTCTCTTCCTGTCTGTCTCCCTCTCTCACTCACTCTCTCCTTCTCTCAGAGGTAGGTGGATCGCAAAGTGATCTCGAAAATGATGAAGTGTTGACACAAGAGTGACTCACTACTCAATGAGTAAAAATATATATTTGATGATGATGAGTTTATATGTACGGTATATCACAACGAGATAAATAAACAAACAAACAAAAGAACAAGGACACACGGGATAAACACACACACAAACACACCACAAGCTGGAAAATAAACTGGGACAAAACAAACAGAATAGGGACAAGAGATAAGAAGAATAAACTCATCGTTTAATTTTATATTATCGATTAGTAAATCAATCAATCAATCAATCAATCATGCTTCATATCTAGGCGAGGAGAGGAGAAAACGATACAGAACAACAACACTGGCATACACACAAACAGACATCCACTCCATTTATTATCATTATTATTATTATTATTATTATTATTATTATTATTATTATAAAAGCTCATATATATAAACTGAGGGAAGAAAATAAAAGAGAAGATAAATAAATTAATTAATTCATTGATTTTTTCTCTTCTCCTCTTTAGAATCATAATATAGTCATCATAAAGTAATCTTGAACAAGGAGGATGTATCAACAAAAACCAGAGTATGGAATGTAGAAACAGGTAGTAGTAGTAGTCGTCGTCGTAAGCTAAAACACAAAGGCATATTATATTCACATTTGATGAAATCGGGAAGAAAGAGAGCAACACAAAGAGAGAGAGAGAGAGGTAACCGTGAACAACACAGCTAGCCAGCCAGACAACCACACACACACACACATGTAAGACAATGAATGTGTGTGTACATTGATCCAAGGGAATCACAGCTGTTCTGTTTTTGATTGATTTGTTATTGATTCATTGATTGATTAATTAATTTTTGCAATATCACAGAAGGTTGATACGGATGTCGACACAGAGATAAAAACACACACGCAGTGTCTATGTCACACACATGAAAGATAGGAATGTTGTAAAGCGGAGTAGTACTGAAACAGTGAATACAAACAGAACATACAAACACAACAAGCAGAAGGCGATATACACACACTTGTTTTTCTTTTAATATAAAATATAACTCATTTTGGAATGAATTGAATAATAGTAACAGAGTTGGCTAGTAGCTGTAGCAGTAGCCGTTGTGTAGCTCTGGCTGTAGCAGTAGCACTCCTCGTCAGCATGTCATCATTTTTTCAGGGAATGTGTCCAGTTTGAGTGGAATAATAATAATAATAATAAGCGGAAAAAATTGAATAAAGCTATCCAAAGGAGACAGACAGACAGAGAACAGGAGAATTCATTCATTGTACAAGAGACAAATGGTGTCGTCTTTGTGTATGGTATAATAATAATAATAATATTTCGCATTACACATGGTTGATTGATTGCCAGCAGCTGCTAGGTTGTATGTATGTATATATATGTATAGAGAGAGGGGGGAGGGGAATATCCCACACAGCAAGGAGGCTAGCCATTGTTGTTGTTCTTCTTCTTCTTGTCATATGGTGATTCCTTTTTTCAAGCTTCACATGTGTGCTGCGGCATCAACAATACACACATACACACAACAAGGATCGATTTACACACACACACACACACACAACACAGACAGTTAACATTGAACTGGATTAGACGATAAACTTGAGTACAATAACAGTTGAGGAAATTAACACCTGCAGAGGAGAAGAAGAAAAAACGAAAAATAGTCAAATATATTTAGTTAACACCACGATTATATGAAGAAATACATACACCATACAATTGAAAGTGATTTTGACACGACACCTATGAGAGTTTGAGGCGTAGGCGGCGGGGGTGGGGGGGAGTAGGAGAAATCATCGAGTCCATGTAACCGAAAAGCGCTGATCGGTTTGCGGAGAGCGAGCGAATTCAATGTTAGGGGAGAGAAAAAAGTGACCACAAAAACTCAATCTAAGCACACTCACGCACCTATCCCTTTCAACATCTTTTTAAGAAGAAACATTATTTCCAGTTGTTAGTAGCTGTCAATCAGTTATAGAGATTGGTTTAGTCTAAATAGTGAGCTCTAGCTCACTAATACTGATGGGGCTACTTGCTCATGGATAGATGTTCTGAAGTGTTGTGTCACTGGGAAGTTGTGATCAGTGGGAACCACCACCACCATGTGTCACGGTGAAGAGAGTGATAGCACACCACCACATGATATAGTTAGAATTCAAGGGGATCACTGGATTCCGCCTCAAGTGACTGAATGGACAACCAGCTTGGCGTCTCGTAACCTGTAAGATCCTGAATTCAATACTTGGTGGGTGGGATTGAGAGGTGTGGCGCGCACTGCAGAAATCTAATAAGTGATATGAAATTATAATCGAAATCCCAACTAATCTCATAAACTAAACATTCATCCAATCAACATTCAGCACAAGTGACCTTGAAATGACCAATCAGCTTTCGCAAAAGGAGTAGTCAAGCGAAGACTGGATAAAGCTATCAACAGAATTTATTATGCTGTAAAACTCATCTTCCACTCTTAAACACCACCACCACCAAGTGGGTGTGTTTCAACAATTTCGGAAAGACCAGTGACCAATCCTCCACACTTAAAACTACTCAGTATACATCAATTTCAGTGTGTTTGTCGAAGCAAATACATATAGGTCGTACACTAAGTCGATTGCCTACTCGCATAATGTGGAGCATTCGTCAAAGTGGGTGAAACACAGAAGAAGTCGAGGTGAATAACAGTTTAATAACAAGGCATCATCTTGTGGACTACGGAAATGACATTAACGTGTAGTCAAGTCATTCACTGTTGCCAGTCAACAGACAAACAAACAGGAAGATGCTTACAATTGCAGAGGCTTGTGCAGTTAGAGTTTATAAACCAGGTGGTCTGTCACTGCGTACAAAAGCAAATGATGGTCACTCAATTTACCATGGTGATATGTCTTACGTATTAACTGTTATATTATGGATATTTTATTCTGCCTCTTATTATCACTATTTCTGATTCATTTAAAATAATCTTTTATCTCTACCCTTATCTTGAATCGTTTCAACACGATCATCATTTTTATTATTATTACTATTATTTGCACTACTATTGTAACAACAGAAGACAAGGGCCAGGCAACAGATCGTTTATTAAGGAAAATCAACACATATTTATAGATTTTAATGTACATTATTGTAGATTATTGTTAGTAGAAAATACAGTCTTTTGATTGGCTGTTTCTCACAGAAAGTTAACCTTGCATCTCTTTGTGGCTGTGTCAGATCATCCATATGCTAACTGTATCCGCCTACGCAAAGCCTTTGTTCTCATTTTCTCACCACCAATATTGGAGACATAAACATTGACGTCAATTACTGTCTACCGACTTTGGCTAGCAGCCAGCTCTCACCACACTATTATGATTAGTATTACTATTATCATCAATATTATTTGCTTAGCAACTCCTAAAATATTTAAGTCCCTTCGATCACTGATAACTAATTGTTTATTTGAGTGATGTGCAATTTAACCGTAATGCATTTTATCTTAATTTTATATCCCCTGTAAGTAGAGTATCCATCCAGCTGAGTAGAGGTTCTACAAAAACTTGATAAATTCATTAAATCCTCCTTCATAAGCACCCTTTATTGCCTGTCTCAAGTTTGTAGCGTGTAGGTGTAGAAATCTCAACGCTAAACGTGGATAAATTTAGTCTAAAGGAAGCGCCAAGAAACCAAATTGCCAACTCTATCCCTTTTGTAATACATTTCCTATCCATTACATGAATGTGAACCATTTTCCCACTTACATTTCCCTGGTCCACCGCCGTTAATCTGATTGGTTGCTTCGAGGTCATTGATTCAGTAGGGCAGTTTGGATTATTGTTGATTAAATTTGACAGATGCATTCAAGTATGTCAAAGAAAGTGAGTGCACTAATCACCGGAAAAAAGAGAAAACTGTTCCACGTGAATATCGGTAAATAATGCGATCCCAGTTACTGAATTATCCTATGAATACATTACGCTATACTACAGGATATATTTAATTACGTAAGAACACATGACACCAGAATGATATCAACGTGGAGGAGGCAGACCAGACTATGGAATGCAGACGACATACTTCGAGGTGTCCAACACTTGTTGTATTTCTTATGAACTGAAGGTGGTATCTGATCCCGTCGACCAAGAGGTACACTGTGGTAAGTTTCGGGGCGTAAAGAGTATTGTCGAGAATTTAAATCGCACTAGTCAAAGTACTTTACTCGAATACAAGCAGAGCTTACGGAGAGATATCATCTGAATTGATGACATCCACTGATGTACATCAAGAATGCCGCTAAGTGCTCCTATTTTCGATGATAGATGATTGGAAGCAATCGGCAGGAAGCCTTGTCTGACCTAGGTTTCGTGCTAGTTGGCACTCACCAGTCAGTTAGCAAGACATATCTGTAACCTTGAAGGAACTCATGTCCTTTCTGAGATTCGAACCTGCGTCACCCACCACCCAGTGCTGCAGTCAGAGACGTTACCATCCTTGAGCTATTTGGGCTCACGACTGGCCTGCTGTAGGACTGTAGCACCAAACAGAGGACCAGACACATCACACTAGTTACTAGTGTCCAATGAAAGCTCCCATTTTTGTTCAGATTTCATCAAACATGTACCACCATCAATGGAAATAGAGATAATCGACTTGCACCACATAAGCATTGACTTGTTACTAAGGGAGAGGTCTCGTCAACTTATAGTACACGGATGATATAGTGTTGTCTTTCTAGGCGAAGATGCTGAACACCTTGAGAAAAAGTCTTAAAATAACTAGCATGTCATTTTGCTCCTTGTCAAATGTGAAATAATACTGCAGGACTGGTCTGCACCGACTCCTACTATACAGAATATACAAGTGAAATGGTTGAGCACGCACTGAACCACCAATAGAAATTTATGCATATAACCAGGCTCAATTTAAACAATGTGACTTTTATTCAACAGTTCTCTTTTGTTTTATTTTTGTTTGTAAACTCAAGTAAGCCGAAGCAGATCTTTCTTCTATGAAGCTGCGATCGTCGATAATGCCCAGTTTGTAGTGAAACATCATCCTACCCAACCCTATGAAATAATACACTCTAGGAGTGGACATAATTAATGTCTTGGTGTTGTTATGCCTTTCCTTGTAAACAACAAGTTTTACTCTAAGTCTGCACAGTTGCGAAGTACGAGCAGAACGCTGGCACCACTTGGGCAACACACTAATTACGTAATCACTCGCATAAGTCTTGCAACGTTTACTAAATGCCCCCTTAAAACTGTTTATTCTATCATTTTAAAATACTGTGTAGTGTGTGTGTACCACGCGCAGTGATATGCACTCACTAACAAGATCCAATTATCGATTGACTCATTGATTGATTAATTAATTAATTAATTGAACCCGTATTTTCAATGACACTCAAAAACAACTTTTTTTTTCTCGAGTGATGATTAGGCAAATTGAGAAATATTATATATATATATATATATATATATCGATTTAATTATCACTTGTCGTTATTCGATGAAATCAATACTACTCTATTGATTGTGTATATATATACTAACCGGTAAGCTCAAACTAATAAAAAAACACAAGTTATCGAAAGAACAGTTAAAGATTTCCTCTGTTTGTTTGTTTTTATTTAATGAATGCCTCAGTGTATCGGTGACTGATAATGGCAAAATGCTCGCCAGTGGCGAAGGTTGCTTGAGGTTCGATTCCTTGTCGATGAAGTGTCTTCGATCACGCATAATTTATTAGTGCATGGTAAGCCCACGAAAACAGTGGGTGGTGGTGGGTGGATGCATAGAAGTGAGGTTATCAGCCCGACTCTCGTAAAAACCAAATAATCAATACTCAGCCTTCAAAGGTTTGAAGTCCAATGTTCCACTCAGAATATACAAAAGAAATGAAGAAAATATAAATGTACGTAAGGTTTCCTCTTTCTGTGGAACTTATGAAAACTATATGTAGAACTCAGCTACTTATGAAATGTTGCAATCCCCCCCCTACTTTTCTAACCTAACCATAAATTAGTTGACACTAACTCGATGAGGAAGATGGTGGGTGAGTGGCTCAACATGTGTATAATACATGTCAACCGCGATTTAGCTTCACAATGTCATTAATTGGCTCACTCTGCTTAAACAACGCTCTACACCTCATCTCACCTTACTTCACCTCAACATTATTCACTAAACTTTGCGTTCTGTAACCTACAGCTGAATTCCAATGGATTTCTGCAATTTCTCCCTCTGATTTTATAGGCGATTGGGTTGTCTGTCTGTGGTATTAAGTGGTAAAAAAAATATGATGAGTAATATTCAAATTAGGAATAGATTGTTAGGTGACAAGAGTAAGTCAAAGGAATGAGGTTGTGAAGCTACATCGATTGAGGATGCCCTCCGCTCCGAGTAATGTTCGCTGACATAGAATTAGGTATGGTCAAACTAAAATGTGTGATAGTTGGTTTGAGCCAGCCAGCCATGTGGGGAGGTGTGGACTACCTTGACTGGCGTCTTCTGGATGCTAAGAACCAACGGCTGAAGACTGTTAGGAATATGGCTCGAAACCATTCCCAATGATGCAGAGATACATTCAGCCTTTGTAATCTCCCAGACCAATTAGACCCTCATACTTTTTTCTACGTGACTATTCTTTCTCTCACATATACGCCAAATTCAGTTAGTCAGTCAATCAGTCTGCAGTCTCAGTCAAATTTGTCGACGCAATGAGTGTGACTCCATACACAGCTAATGTCAGATTTCAGATTTATTAATTGAGGATAGAAGGCTTGAAGCCTATGTTAATCGTCTTCCAGCAAATTCCTGTGCTTCACCAAACTCTTTTTCAAAGAATGAGTTAATTGAGAGCGCTTACACCACTTCATCTGGAAGTCGGTTCCAAGAGTTGATGACTCACTCAGTGCGAGAACTAGTACTACAACACAGGGAGCGACATAGTTTCTCTTTGGCTTTTGAATTCTCCTGCTACTATGTCCCTCTGAAGTTGTGTTTCGACAGATCCCACATCCCCCACCCACCCCCGTATTTTGTTTTACGCGAAGTGTACACACACACATAAAAGAAATAGAGGATAAAATTACTATAATAGTTACAAGCACAATCACCTAACGATATTAAAAAAATAAAATATCAAACTACTTTTACTTACCTAATCACATACACAGAAACATACACAAAGAAGACAAGATAAACTAACAAGCACAATTCGATTTGGACGATGTAGACTTTTTTAAATTGGCTGTACCTTCTGTATTCCCATGGATACGTGCTTTGGTTACTGAGGCTTCAATTCTAGTCATGACTAAATCCAGTAGGCGATCAACGGCGGCTGTCACTTGATAGCCAGTAGCTGCACTTGTCTCTATGTAAGGTACACTAGAATAAAGGGAACAGATTTTTTTTTAAAACCAGTTACGAATGTGATAATTATAACGGTAAATAGGTAACAATACTTATACACTATTATTTGACTTTACTCATAAGATGGTAATAGCATGCAGGACGTCCAAATCGCACTTATTCAGTTGGCTGTCAGTGTCTGTGAGTTTGGTATGTGCTTTGCGCCATCCAAGTGCAAAATACTGTTATAGGATTGGCAGAAGCCTGTTCCTGTACTCACCCCTGAAGGTAAACCGCTAGAAGTTGCCGACAAGTCCATGTATCCATATAGCTGTGTGAGTGCAGGCGGAGGTGTGAAGGATAAAATTTATAGTCGCATGGTGGAAGCTAAGGTGGCGCATTCGCCATTTTGAGCCACATCTGAAGCCGTCAACACGTTAGCTAGGCTGTCAAAGGTTGGGTTTACAATGCTTTCGGTGTGTGAGGTCTTGCTTTACGCCTGTGGAACTTGATCATCTTCGATCATTGCTGCCTCCGTAGAACTGCTTGCATCCGATGGCATCATCGTGCAAGCAATTTTAAGGTTCGGTAGTGTATATATGGACACGGCAGAGGTCACCAGTTACTGAATACAGTCATCTCGAAACATCAACTTCGGTGGATGGGACATGTGCTACGAGGCTTTCATACCCCTGGCTGCTCACCAACCCTAGGACTGCATGGCGAAAGTGGAGAGGGGGTCAGTCCATGATGCCACACTGTGGAATGAGGGATATTTGTGTTAGATTAGCATTGACTGGTAAATCACGACTCTCCGGGTGGGTCCGTAGTATAGTTCGAATCGGTGGCTCAAGCCGTTATCCGATATGGCCAAAAATCAGTCATCCATGGCAAACATGCTGTAATTTCCTCCTTTCTTCCCTTTGTGAAAGTAACGTGAAGCGGTGAATGTTGAATTATCTTGACTAGTAATGCTTGCTTCTTTTCTAGATAACGTTCCTCATTCATTCTCTGCCTATTTTCTTTATATACTGCTGTTTTATTATTTGTGTAGTGCATCTCTTGGTTCCCACAGTGTAGCAATTTTGTATTATAAATAAATAAATAAGATGGTCTAAGTTTACCAAAGTGACTTCGCTTGATGTAATGACATGATCAGGAATGAAGTTGAGCACCTACACTACAGACCATTGGTTGTACAGTCAGTTCAGTATGATGGTTAGTCACATCTTGAGAGTAATACAAACAGACAGTCATACAGAGCAATGAAATAGCTTAAATATCCACCAGTTTTCACAATTTACACTTGTAGAAACAGAGCTAGAGAACTCGTCAAACATGCATGTTCAGCGGCTCGATCCAAGACCAACGTACTCTGTTCTAAACCTCGCCGTGTTTACCAGCCAGTAGTCAACCTGGATAACAGGGGATATTGGGCTTGAGGTTAGCAATCCTACTACCACCCAATAAAGGCAACACGGCTAATGAGACGTCAAGCCTGCAGCTGCTCTATGCCCCCCTCGGGACTCAAACAATGAACACAAACTATGATGTATAATAAAGAGCTTCACAGCGTAAAGTTAAGTTTTTAAGAGGATAGTTTTGGTCTAGTATTTTCAAGATATTCCCTTAAACAAATGCAGTATGCAATGTTTCAAAGCTCTGAGACACATACTTTTTCAGATAGACACCTTTCGAAAACAAAAAGGTGATCTTTCTTACCGACTATGCACAACTGACGACAATTTGCTATTATTAGTAGAATTATTATCACTGTGGTTATAGCTGTTATTACTACTGTTAATACGACCAAAGACAATTTCGTCATTTGACAGGTTGAAAAGGAAGATATGGCTTACTGGTTCGACAACTCGAGTGTTAGCCAACAAGTCCAAGGGTTCGAATCCCAGGAGTTAAGCACATTCCAGAGTAGTATACATTTATGCACAAAGTAAGAGTAATTATATATCAATCAGGCGATCTCCAACAAAAGCATGGGTGATCAGCTTGGAATACATACATACATACATCTATGAACGCTAATACACAACTTGTTATTCACATATCCCCCGAATATAACCCTAAGTTTTGTTGGTAGACTCATTTACTGACCGGTTTCAACGTAGAACTACTTTGCACAGATGTGCAGTAGTTCGAGTCACCACACTCCATGTAGTACACAAAACAAGGAAAGGAAGTGAAAGGAAATGTAAAACAGAGACAGTAAACAGACATGAGGCAAAAAGAATAGTAATATCGAAGAACCATCCAGTTTTATTGGATAAGTCACAAGGAGTGAGTATGTCTGCGCCAGCCATTAACAACGACGATTTTAAGCCGTATCACGAATTGTCTCAAGCCTTCATTGGATCTTACCGTCCTGAGGACCCCAACCACGAAGTCTACGCCTCCCCCACGTGACCGGCTTAAACTAACTGTTGTGGATTTTATTGACTGATGAAGCCATGTTTTGGTTTGACCACCACCACTGGCTCTTTTCAAACCTGATCCATCTTATGTCAACTAACATTCCCCGTTGTCAAAGAAGGCGATGGCTAGACATGCATGTGTAGCGCATGTCCTAACCATCTCTCGCAATCGGTGTAATTACACACCCTCGTCTATTGATTTCCCCTCCCATCTACCTAGCACTCGACTGAAGGTTAACCTAAATATTGCTCACCCTATTATTTCACTTCATGCGGGAGATAGAACGCAGGCACCTATGGTCAAAGACTGGTTAGCTGTAGACAGGATAAATGAACTACCCTATCTAACAACGTGATGTCACGCAACAGTCTCCCCCTAGCGCACAATTTTCAATCCATCTCAACTTCCCTATGCATATTTATTGGGCATTAGGTCCTTTAGTTGGTTCGCTGTCTACTAGAAAGGTCTTTGTTACTGATCTTTCCTAGACATCTGATCTTCAATATGGAGCTAGCGAATACAAATGTTAATGGAAGTCTGCAATAGTCAGCTGGAAATGATTTTTGTGACACAAAAGTCGTCTGATATGAATATGAGCGTTGAAGATTCTGTACTTGTTTCTTATGTTCTGTGGTGTACAGTAGGTTCCCAAATTGATTTATTTCAGAGCAAAGAAGACCTGTCATGCTTTTCGCATCCTAGACACCTTTGACTTTTTTTCAAGCTACATAACCATTCAAGTTCACTAAAGAGAAGCAACTTTGTTTTTTCTGGAGTGAAGACTCCCACCTAACGTCAAAGCCGACAGATAAGAAGAATTACTCCTCTAAATTAAGGAATCCCAAAACACACACACACAAAATAAATCAGAACCTAAATTTGATATTTGCTTTATCATCTTAGTAATGGAGATATGGGAAAAGACATTATGTAAATTGAAAATTTGAAATTTTTACACTGCAAAACTCGTGTTCCACCCCCTTAAACAACACCTCCAAGTGGGTGTGCTTCAACAATCTTGGAAAAACTTCAAACGGATGACTACATATATCAATTTCAGTGTGTTTGTCGAAGTAAATACATATACGTTTTACACAAAGACGACTGTCTACTCGCATAATGTGGAGCATTCGCCTAAGTAGTTGAAACACATATGAAGTCAAAGTGCCGAAATGTTCAATAACAAAGCATCATCTTGAGGACTACGGTAATGATATTGGCGTGCTGTAAAGTCACTCATTGTTGCCAGTGAACAGACAAACAAACAGGAAGATGCTTGCAATTGCCAAGGCTTGTGTAATTAGAGTTTATAAACCAGGTGGTTATTGTGTACTCTGAATCTACCATGGTGATATGTCTTACTTATTAACTGTATTATTGATATTCTATTCTACCTCTTATTTCTGATTCATTTAAAACTACCTTTTATCTCTACCCTTATCTTGACTCGTTCTAACACGATCATTATTATAGTTGTTACTATTGTTAGCATTGCTATTATTACTAGTATTACTATTATCATCAATATTATTTACTTGACAATTCTTGATATATTCAAGTCCCGTCAATTACTGATAAATAATTATTCATTTAAGTAATGTGTAACTGAATCGTCATGCATTTTATCTTAATTTTATATCCCTGTAAGCAGCGTATCCAGCTGAGCAGCAGTCCTACCAAAATCCGATGAATTCATTAGATTAGTACCTTTTGTTGCGTCTGGAATTCTTCTTACAGCACTAGTTTCTAGGGTGCAAGGTGAACTGTCCATCTTCGCACTGACTAACTGGTTTCAACTTCGTAGAACTACTTTGTACAGATGTGCAGCAGTTCACACTTGCCACACTCCCGCCAGGTAGCGCACAAAGCAAGAGCAGGCAGTAAAGTGAGGTTCAGAAGACAGATATTGATCAGAAATATGACGCTAAAAGAATAGTAATATGTAGGAACAATAGAATTTTATTGGATATTATAAATCACAAAGAATGAATGCATCTGCGCCAACCAATGAGAACGAGGATTTTTAGCCATATCACTAATTGTTCCCATCTTGACAATAAATTTACAGGTAGATCAGCGAAGAGTCTCTTTTCGGTGGCGAATTCAATTTCTTAGCTGTACAGTCGCAAATATATACACAGGGTTATTTTATTTGTATGTGTACATTAAGTTTGTCAAACAAAATAAAATTGGTTATAGTTATTTTAACTAAACAGGTGAAGATTGGTAATTAGAGTTACGTAATACAAAATCAGTCAAGAAAAATAGGTGTTAATGAAATTAAGGCAGTAACAAAGGTGATCAGTTGTCACAAACAGTTGTTTAAAAGAAAGAAGTTATGTAATAATATGAATAGTTTGATGAGTGAGTTTTACTCAGGATGCACATAGAAACAAAGTAGATAATGAACAATGTCTTCATTTAGAACTATTACGTAATTTCGTATTATCTACTTTGTTTCTATGTGCATCCTGAGTAAAACTCACTCATCAAACTATTCATATTATTACATTACTTCTTTTTTAACAACTGTTTGTGACAACTGATCACCTTTGTTACACTACCCTAATTTCATTAACACCTATTTTTCTTGACTGATTTTGTATTACGTAACTCCAATTACCAATCTTCACTTGTCTAGTTAAAATAACTATAACCAATTTTATTTTGTTTGACAAACTTAATGTACACAGACAAACAAAATAACACACATATATTTGTGATTGTACAGCTAAGTGTGAATGAATTCGTCGCCGAAAAGAGACTCTTTGTTTTTATTAATGCCTGGATAGGGACTATCCATGAATAAATTAACAACCACATATACGTTGTTCTGTGAGTTTTGAACCACGTAAGAAGAGGCAGACTGCCTGGTTGGAGTCTTCAGGGTTCTTAGAACCAATGGCTGGAGACAATTATTGATATGGGTCAAAATCATTCCAAAAGGCGCAGATGCATTCAGTCTCTGTGATCTGCCATATCTATTAAAACCCTGTTGTTTCTCCATGTTACTATTCTTCTTTTTTCCCGCACATTTCTGCTTTTTGTTGCTTCGTTCTTTTTAGTCTATTTTGGTTATGGAGTGACCGAGCATAAATATGATTAACGAGATACAATGGACGATGACGGAACGACTGGTGTTGCTTAGTCGTCAAATTCGCCAGACCCGAAGAGTAATTTAGAAGAACCAAACACTCGCAGAAGTGGCTGAACGGTTAATCAGCTTTGCTTTGCAACCTGAAGGTGATGGGTTCCAACGTAGGACAAAACAGCGATCTACTTTTCCATGGTTTTCAATGACATTAATCCATAACCGAAATTCAGAAAATCAAATCAAATCCTCACAAATTAACACTCTTGAAAAAGAAGTTAACTGCTGAAAATTGCAACCCTATAGAGAACCAAATACGATGAAATAGAAATAAAAGGAAACTTACTCAAGTTCACGAGCCATTGCATTCGCAGCAGACATAGACACTTGACGTTCCGATGTCAGGTCAAATTTATTTCCAACTAACACAACATCAGGACGATCACAATATGCATGTTGACACAGCAGATTCATCCATTCACGACAATTCTGTAGACTATTTTCATTCGTCAAATCGAATACAAGCAGAAAACCCATTGCATCACGTAGAAACACTGTGCATAAACTTCGATATCTGAAATAATAATAATAATAACAGTAGTAATATAAAAGTTAAGCTAAAATATGGTACTTAATTTCTCCTTTTTTGAAACATTAAAACCCAAAATATATCGAACTCAGATGGTTGTAAAACGACTTATTACCATGCTAGACATCAAAATCAGTGCTGTTCTACAAGTGAACAGTGATACTCCTTAACGTCAATGCTTTTCATGCAGAGTATGTGTGAACCGAAGCTGAGTCGTGCCTATTTGAATGGTATCGCATGATTTTTGAGTAAAATGCTTGAGAAAAAGTGATTCTGTGAACACCAGTTGGATTTGTTTCGTCAAGAAAAAAGCGAGCAGATTACAAAACTCTTCAAGAGATATAGTGGAATTCAAATTTGACTGGAATATGAATAAAACATCTTAGATAACACGATCGAAAGTTTATACTCGTCTACTTCTAAATAAGCAACTGAGTTAGTGAATATTATTGCAATCAAAACATAAACTCTATATTATGTGCACCAAGAGATGAACCACACAAAATTGCATTGTTCGTGCGAAGGCTGAGACACTGCCCCCACCTCGCCGCCTTTGACCTGATACACAAGACAGTGGAGCAGCGTTCCTATGGTTTCAGGTTCACACAGACTATACGATCCGTTCGGGTTTTGAAGCCCATGTACAACATAGGTTTGTAACCATGTTCTTCCAGATCTCCACAATAGGTGACCCAACATATCCACCATCAGTCTGGTGGTAAGTGCCAAACCTCCCGATTCGCCTTCTCATTGTTGTGAGCAACACCGCTGTTTGAAAGCAGTGAAATAGGACTTACCTGGCATGGGCTATGAACGGGTGGCCACATGACAGTATTTCGACAGGAAGACAGAAGTCTACTTACTCACCCTCGGTAATACCACGTCGTTTATGGAGGCAATTCAATGGCTGATAGTTTGGCGTACATAAAACAGAAATTGTGAACAACTAAATAACTCGATGTTAGTCGAACGATAAGTGGGAAAATCGACTTTTTAAATAACTCGGTGACTTCGTATATTTCGTTACGGTTTCTATAGAATTTCTCACAATCCGTGACAACGGCATGTAAGTATTCCTAAGGTCTGGCTTGAATGTCAATGCATAACAAATACCTTTAATCAGTATTTCCTAACACCTTAGATCATCGGTTTCAATAAACTTAACAAGTCATACATGTCCTTCTAGGGAGAGAAAAAAACTGACAGAGGAGCCCAATTTGACTCAGAATTTTTTTTAAAACTTGTTGAAGTTTCTAGAATCACCCAGAATCCACTGCATAGCATATATCACCCTCAAGCCAATAGGATGATACAATGCTTGTATCGACAAAAGAGGTTTGGGGGTTAACATCTCACTCTGACTCCACTCACTGGACGGCATAATAATAACTCTATTTCAAACAGTATGTACTTCTGGTACAAATATGGAATTTTCTGCATGTAATACAATATGTTGTACCTAATTTTCTCATAACAGGGGCAATAATTATAATAGGGTATTTACATTAATAATATTGTTCAATAAGAATTGAATGCAAAATTAAATCAAGTGAAAATATTAACGACACTGTAATAATGAGAACAAAAAAAGCAATGCTGTTTACTTAGAGTTCTTCAGCAAGTTGGTAATTTTCTGTCTTACCTTTCTCATCACATAAAATGTGTCCCAGCCGAATAAGGTATTGTAGAGTTTAGTCGTCCGAGTACACAGTCTTCTATAGTTGCTTCTAGTTCTAACTAATGAGATGGAGGTAAGGAGAGAGATGTGTGTGGAGAAGACGTTCAGAGTCTGACAAGATAATATTTGCTAATTTCTTGCAAGAATCCGTGTCTATCTAAAAGTGACAACGAGTTGGTTTAGCAACACACCACTGACCCTACTGACACCATTTTAGTGCCCCACGCAGTATAACAGTCTCTCTTAAGCAGCCCAGAAAAGATTAAGGTGTAGGGGAGAAGTAAAAAAGGATAGGTAGAACAGAAGAATTAACAAATGGTAACAGTAGAGACTGAGTGAGTGATACCAGATCGTCATAACTTTATCACGAAATATCTTTCTGGAAACTAACATTCGATTTCGTTTCAACTTCTGTGCCATTTATGCTAGTGGGACCCTGCGAACTAACTAGTTCGTGTAGGTCACACTTTAGTCTGAAAATGAAATTAACAACATGACTGACATTTGGAGGTATTAAGCTTAAGATCATCTAAAAAGGACTACTAACTGATTTCTAATAAAAATTTATTGATTTCGGAACAGTCTGACTGAGAATTAACCACCGGCATAGAAACAGCCAGATTATCGGCATACTAAATAAAACTGGCTTCATCAAAATGGTGGAAGGTATGTAAGAAGAAAGAATACAAAAAGGGAGGACTAACAAACAGCACGCTGAGGAGCACCAACTAGAGTAAGTTAAGCAAGCAGTGGAGGAATTCCCATTGTAAACAATGTACTGTCTTCTATCAGATAAATAGGCATGCAACCACTTGTTAATCCAGCACTGTGCTCGTGACGCAGCAATTTTGTTTAACAAAAGAGGCCTAGGTACATAGTCGAAGGCAGATGTTAAATCATTAATGCACAATATTCAGCAGTGGCAATAGTATCTGCAACCACCCTGAAACTCTCTGGAGAGTTTATCAGTCCTACTGCTGATAAGAACAAACTTGACCAGGTTATATATGTATGATGACATACTTCAACTACAAGTGGCTAGATAAAGGGGGATTTTCTTAAGAGGAAATATTGCTGCTTGATTACTTCTGCAAATTCCTGCTTCTTACTGTACTGGGATTATATAATTATCAGAATAAATGCATTTTAGATTTTATTTTAAAATTATTACCGTTCTTGTCCAGCTGTATCCCATAGTTGTAAATGCAAACGTTGTTTCGGTCCAAGAAGGCCTTCAGAATCACGACTTTCACGGACTAATCTTTTCTGACGAAAATCGACACCGACTGTCGTTGTAAATCGTGGGTTGAAAATATTATCCGTATACTGATACAATAGACTTGTTTTTCCCACATTACTATCGCCTATTTTTTAAAATACAAACAAAAGTCAGAAACAAAATCAAAATCAATTAACAAAATAATAATGCCTACAATGATTAGATATTTATGCTTTAGACTAGCAAGAGTGAATGATTATATCACTGACAAGAATCCCAGTTCAAACACACACGACTGAAGTATGCTTGCAAGAAACTAACATCAACGCGCAACTGGCCATTGTATAATGCCAAAGCCTTCTGTTTACGAACTTAAATTGTGTAAGCTAATACCTTAACTAGTTGAAAGGTTTTGTTGGACATTCACACAAAACCCCAGAAAAGAACAGAGTTGAGTGGGGGAAAATTATATGACCAGAAATCGTAGTAGTCGGTTGGTTTCTTCAACATATATTACAATTCATACGACGATCAACGAATGATCTTAATCAATATGCATATATTCTATTTTTCTACAAAACTAACAGTAAAATTACCTAGTGCCAGAAGCTTTATTAAGTAATCATATTCGTCATCTGGGGCAGCAGAAGAGTTGTGAAAGAGAGAATCGCCCATGGCAGAAATGCAAGGGTTTGGAAAGCCGCCTTGGCCAAATTCGGATGGTATCCAATCTTCAATGTCCAAGGTACATTGTTTGTACTATAGGCATGGATGAAATAGTTGATATCCCCCTCAGAAAAAGATGTTTTTATGACTTGAGAAGTTTGACCGATGAACCAGAGATGAACATACCTGAAGAATGGGCCTCCTAAGAAAATTTTCTCGTGCATGAACTTCAGGAATAAAACATCCAATGGTGTCCCAAACCTGACTATTGACAATGATACAATCGAAGAAGATCAAGAAAAAGCAGAAGCAATGGCAAACTCCCAAGTCTTCACTCAGGAATCGTCACTGCCTATAGGATCAGCTCTGGCTGCATCAGACGAACATGGGATAGATTCCGTTGACATCGACCAAGGCATCGTGCTCAACTGCCTAAGGAAACTAGATGCAGGGAAATCAATGGGTCCTGATAATCTTCATCCAAGGCTTCTCAAGGAGCTATCAGCCCACATAGCTGGACCTTTGGCTATGATCTTCAAGCTTTCTTTCCAAAATGGAGCGTTACCGCATGACTGGAAGGACGCCATAGTAACCCCCATCCACAAAGGAGGATCAAGACAAAGCCCTTCAAATTACAGGCCTATCAGTCTGACCAGAACTTTAATTAAGACACTGGAAAGAATCATCAGGAAAAGCATAATGGCATATCTAGAAAATAGAAGCTTATTATCAAGAGAACAGCATGGCTTCCGAAGGAACCTATCATGCCTGTCAAATCTTCTCACTGCAAGAGGAAGCCGGGTCAAATCCAGGGACAACAGAAGACCTGTTGACGTCGTCTTCATAGACTTCAGCAAAGCCTTTGATAAAGTACCTCACAAAAGACTACTCATGAAGTTGGAAAGTCTTGGTATCAAAGGCAGCTTACTAAACTGGCTCAGGGAATTCCTCATAGGTAGGAGGCAGAGGGTTAGGATCAACTCGAAACTCTCCTCTTGGACAGCAGTACTCAGCGGATTACCACAAGGCACGCTACTCGGACCTCTCCTATTTATTTTGTATTTCAATGAGTTATCTCTGCTCACCGACTCCCCTATGGTCCTATACGCAGATGACTTAAAAATTTGGAGAGAGCTGAGGGCAACAGCGACACGTCCACGTTGCAAGAGGACCTCAACAAATTGCCAGAGTGGTCCATAGAATGGATGCTCCCGATAAATGTGGCAAAATGTGCAACCATGCGCATTGGACAGGCAAGCTCGAGCTCTTATGAACTAGAGGGAATTACATTTCCTTCAGTTCAGACTCACTTGGACTTAGGTGTCATAGTTAGCCACGACTTAAAAACTACAGCACACTGTGGCGCGGTGGCTGCACGTAGTTTCAGGTCATTATGGGCAATTCGTAGAGCCTTCACTAGAATCACCACTGATATGTTCACCTCCTTATATACATCTCTGGTGAGGTCAAGACTGGAAAACTACATCCAAGCCGCCAGCCCTTGTCTAAAAGGGGACTCACACATTCTAGGAAGGGTTCAAAGGAAGGCAACACGTATGATTCATGGCATGACTTACTTATCATACGAGGAAAGACTAGACAGTTTAAATCTCTTCTCCTTGTCATACCGTAGGCAGAGAGATTTAATCACAATGTTTAAAATTTTAAATAATGACTACGGACCTGACCTATTCTCTCTTTTCCTTCCCACCAGGTCGGAACACCTTAGAGGACATAGCAGGAGAGTTCAAAACCAAGAAGAAATCACATTGCTGTTGAGTACTGGTTCTCACACCGAGTCATAAACTCTTGGAACCGACTCCCAGAAGAAGTGGTGTCTGCAACCTCAGCTGATTCGTTCGAGAAGGGTTTGGACAACCACAGAAATTTGCTAGAAGAGGATTAACATAGGCTCCAAGCCTTCTATCCTCAACCAATAAATCTGAATCTGAATCTCCACAAACCGGTGATGAAAACAGGTAAACACAGAGCCTGGGAGTGAGATAGAAGTGTATTATCGTAACGATAAGCACAAGTCCGGCGTCAAATAATTCGTGTTCAGTTCACCAATATCGTTCGACAATCGCCTCACTGTGTTCGCATGTACAATGTAGAAAAACATACCAAAGTCATGACGCTTACACAATACTTTCGTAAATATCACAGAAAAACTTCTTTGTGTCCGCTATCTATTGATTTAGGGATCGCTCTCAATATCTAGTAGATTTCTGTACAACAAATAAACCAAGAGGATATTGCATTCTTTTATTTAACCCAGAGCATTTACTTGATTTTCAATCTTGCGATATGATCTCCATCGCTGGGCACGTCATACCTTCACTGAAGTTGTGTTAAGTATGGTAATGTTTACTGTTCGCAACAAAACTTTTAAAAGGTCCCTGGTCTGGCTTTCCATGATCCATACCACTACTATGAGTGATATTGCGAGTTTACACAGGCGATGTGATTCCTGTAACTCTTTGCAGAGTTTCTGTGAGTTCGGCTGACTGCGGGAAAGTCAACGTAAAAAGCTATCCTTTATGGTAGACTGCAGGATGTCCGTTTGATTTGTAACAACCTAGGATTAAAGTTACGCAAACAACCCAGAAATTTAGTGAGTTTTGCGCATTTGATCTTCTGTGTTTCCATCTGATGGCACAATGAGTAAAAGTGCGGGATTATTTCGTTTTTCCCCTGTCTAAACAAAACCGCTTCACTTGTTTTCATGGAAGTGAGATACTGCCTTTCAGGCAGCTGATGATTACAGAATACAGGGGAGCGAGACAAGTGTCTAAGTAAGAACAACATCTTTATAATTTATAAGATCATCTTTGTCTAATGAACGCTGTGTTCCTTCCACCTTGAGTTTGAATGGGTTTTCCTGCCTCATTTGACCGCCAGTGTGCCTTCAAATTGGCAATGGAACGTGGCATACATCAGCTAATGGTTGCAGAAATCAACTGTTATGGTGATGTTATGTTTGGGTTGTTTTACATTGCTTTCAGGCGTTTCTTCACCTGAAATGCATTGTAAATACCACATTTTAAGCAAAAACCTTGCAAAAATGGAGGGAAGTAGTCATTTTTAGCATTTTCGATCGAACATCTAGTTGCCATCAGACTGGGATGTTACTGTGCATGAGGAATATTAGAATTCCTTGTTAAGTGTTAATAACGGTAAGAAATATGAAACAATTAAGGTGAAAGGAACACATTTTTCTAAAAAATGAAGAAGTGTTTTGAATATGTGGGCTATGAAAATTTCATTATGCTCACAAGATTTTACAGCCGTAAAGGAATGTGAGTTGACTGACTCGTAAGATAACAATGGAGAGACAACCTTATAACAAAGAGTTACTTTGTTTTGTAGAACTTACTCAATAGTAACCGTTCTGTAACACATCTTTTAGTGTGTTTATTTACCAGGTTACGATCGTTACTTCCGCTATTGTTCGACTTATTTATAGGCTCTCATTAAGCATAAACAGAGGATACAGATGTTAATGATAGAGCATTTATGATATTATGAATTTATTTGTCAAAATAAATGTTTCTAAAACGTTTACAAGATATTTATACATTAGTAAAACTTATTGTTTGCCGGAGTGAAAAGTGTTTCAACTTAGCGGACGTAATATTCGTAAAATGTCATAATTACGCTAACTAAAATGGGTGTAGTTGGGTATTTTCATTCATTCACAGTAACTGCTTCCGCTGGTGGACTGTAAACAAGTGATATACACACTGAAAGCTTATGTTATCAGATACAATATTTCACGGTAACAAAATAACCAATGCAGTCGAGTGAAGTGGTCAACTAATACACAAGTTTAAGAGTTGATGTGATCATGTAAGAGCCCGTTGATACGAAATGGTAATACATGAAGAGCAATGTAGTTATTGCTTTATTACCTAATGATTTCCTTCGAGACTGGTGCTAAACGCAACATAAGAATAATAGACTATTTGTGATAAATATAATATGCGTTTCAAAGTGTACTTGAAATGCCAAAACTAACAGTAAAAATCCTGTACGTACACAGTCTACGTTTGCTAGGTTAAATTTCGTTACTACACTACAAACACATGTTTAACGGCTATTTTCTTAACAATCGTGAATACTAATATTATACGCGACCGGATCCAACACAGCTGAAACACTTTACGCAAGGCTTGATGACGCACTTAGGAAATAATAACAGTTTACGACTTTTACACATTTCACGCAAGCATTACTACGTTGCCTATCATTCTCGTTAACTGTGCAATGCCCGAGAAATGATAAATAAATGAGATACAGGTAGTCGACATATATACATCTATTTGCAAGGAGACAAATGTAAATCAAGTTATAGATAATTCGGACTGAAATAGTACATATCTACACGAAAAAGAGGCAATAATGGTTCAGTGAAAAAGTCACAGTTGCATTTTTTATAGCTGCGTCATAGTTATCATAGCGTTCACTAAACTCTCTATCCGCAACATATGTATCAGTTTTTCTTCGTTAGTAGTGGTGTTGGACCAATCTTGGCAGTTTTGCCACCACCACATCCTTCAGTAGAAACTGGATGTGAACTTTTCAAGCAGAGATTGAGTCTGTATTCATTCGAATACCTTCGGCCGTAATGAGAAATATCTGAGGGTGTACACATATCAGGTAAATTAATCTTACCTCTGGTGAACAATTCCTTACCTTATGCACACTGAATATGTGAACAAGAGGAGCGACAACCACAGAGTTGGTGAAATTTTATAGATTAGTCGTCCATATATTCCACGATAGATCTGAAGAAATGTGGAACTTCCAAATCACCTGTCACACTTTCTCTTCTGCAAATATTATACAAGTGACTCTTATCCAACTAAATGAAAGAGATCAAATATTTAAACTTTATACTTCTTTGATTAAGTTACCCAGTAATATTCTTCTTGTAAGTGGATCCAATGCTTATCACATCTGTGAAATTTATACACATGTTAACTTGTTCCCTTAAGCTAAAAAATATA